CCAACCTAAAAGATTCTATTATTCTGTATCTTATTTCCCCCATTCCCCTCCTCCTAATTTTAGAGTAAATGACAGTATTTTACAGTGAGGGTTATACATCACAGAGAACATGATTTCTCTTTAAGTATTTGTAGTATATTGCCAATTGTCTTTCTGAAAATTACAGTATGTCTCTGACCTGCTAAATCAGCCCTAAAAAACACGGAGAATTAAAACATGATGTTTATTGTTAGATTTAGGTTGATCAAATAACAGGTTCGTACTAGTGGATGAGAAGCTGAACATGAGCCGGCAGTGTGCGCTGGCAGCCCAGAAAGCCAACGGTATCCTGGGCTGTATCCAGACAAGTGTGGCCAGCAGGTCGAGGGAGGGGATTCTGCCCCTCTACTCTGCTCTGGTGAGACCCCACCTGGAGTGCTGCGTCCAGCTGTGGAGCCCTCAACATCAGAGGGATATAGACCAGTTGCAGCGAGTCCAGAGGAGGCCACGAAGATGCTCAGAGGGCTGGAGCCCCTCTGCTATGGGGACAGGCTGAGAGAGTTGGGCTTGTTCAGCCTGGAGAAGGGAAGGCTCCGGGGAGACCTTATTGCAGCCTTCCAGTACCTGAAGGGGCTACAAGGAAGCTGGGGGGGACTTTTTACAAGGGCCTGTAGTGACAGGACAAGGGGGAATGGGTTTAAATTGAAAGTGGGGAGGGTTAGATTAGATAACAGGAAGAAGTTCTTCCTGGAGAGGGTGGTGAGGCACTGGAACAGGTTGCCCAGAGAAGCGGTGGATGCCCCATCCCTGGAAGTGTTCAAGGCCAGGCTGGATGAGGCTTGGAGCAACCTGGTGTAGTGGAAGGTGTCCCTGCCCATGGCAGGGGGGGTGGAACTAGATGGTCTTTAAGGTCCCTTCCAACCCAAACTACTCTGTGATTCTGTGAAATTGTAAAACAGAAGTGTTTGGTTTGCTTTCAAATTTGTCTATGACTTAAATAGTTCTTACAAGAATTTAAGAGTTTTGTGGTGTGTGAGTTCTTTTAAGGGTCTGAGCAGTAATAATAATTTATAAATAAAATAGAATCTTAATATTTAAACTGTGATTTGCAGTAAAGAGAATGAATGCACTAGGTTTGTGAACAGATTTTTCTTCATGCTTTTGCATGATCACACCCACATATGCAAGAACACTTTTACAGTTGTGAATTCCTTGTTCATATTTTTAATAGCATTCTTCTTTAACAATAAGGAGAACTTTTTCTATTTATATAATTGCATTTATACTGTCTCTTTTTGTGTGTTAAGATACTTGAAATGAGAAATTCAGAAAATCAGGCTGTTCAGGAAGATCCTCGTGGAACAACCGAGCATGTTACCAGTACAATTCCTCACAGTGAACTTACTCGTCGTCCTGGGCATAACACTGAGCTGCCTCACACTGAGCTTACAGGTCTTTCTGGTCAAGCTCCCTACACACTGAACTTCAGCTTTGAAGAACTCAACACAATTGGTCTTGATGAAGCTCCTCCACGCCATAGTAACCTAAGTTGGCAGGTATTTAACAGAGAAATGTATTCTGCTTGCTTACCTGACTGGTAAAGGATTTTTTCTGTTCTTGGATACAGAGAGGTCAAAAAATAAGTCTGCTGTGACAGTTCAAGTACTTTCAGTTCTCAGTCTTGGAAAAGACCAGTTTTGCAAAGGTGTAAACTCTAACCACACTCTCTGAGTCACAGTCTGTCTTTGCCACCTGAAAACTATTTATCTGTTAGAGTAATCACTCTTCAAGAGGAAAAAAAAAAATCAAAGCTATCATGCTTTTCTTACCTTGCTTAGGGTGACGTCCTGCAAGATTTCTGTTTATTGTAGTATTCAGACTTTGTGTATGAAATATTTTCTGTGTGCTAACCAGATGTTACACTCTTTGAAGGTTATTTAATAGGTTTTTTTAAACATACAGCTGCTAGAATGCTCCATGACACCAGAGCCTTCCCCTGACAATGCATAATGTATTCACAGACTCTAGAGCTCACATCCTTTACCTACGGTTTCTGCCATAGGTTATGGTCAATTTTCTGGCCTTTCTTGCAAAATCATTCATATTCTTTTTCCTTTTTAAGAAATAAGACAAATCAGTTGATATCTAAATAGTGATTAGAATTTTTTAAAAAGACCAAAAAATCCAAACCCCAAAACATTTAGTAGCTTCTTTTATCTCTAGTTTTAGAAATCTAAATTGGAAAATCTTGAAGGTGCAACAGAATAGGAAGAGACTCCAAATTACTAGCTGTATATGGTATTTGTAATATTCAAAATTGCCAACATTTGTAATATTCAAAATTGCCAAAATATATCCCGGGAATAGATTTCTATCCCAGATACCTCTGTGTGTATGTGTGTGCGTGCGCCCTTGGGTGTGTTTGTAGGATCCTGATTACCCTTACTGCCTGTTTCCAGCAGCAAAGTATCAGTGTATGTTTTTCAAAACTAATGTGTCATGACTGACACTTGTTATGTTGGTTTGTGTCAGAAGCACGGAAGGAAGTACAGGAAAACCTTTTTTTAATCACTCTCTAAAACTTAACTTTAAATAACTAGTGCTTCTGATGCCTACAGTTATCTGAAGCTAAATGAAAAGAATGAAAAAGGTAGTTTGTCCTTAAGAAAATATTAGAATTTGGTTGTTAGAATTTTAAAAGTCAATACTGATTTAAAAAAAAAAATAATACTGCTGCTTCCCTGTAAAAAAGGAGAAGTTACTCCTGGAAATGCACAATCAGATCAAATAGTTGTCTTTTTGGCAAAGAACTGTAGCTGCTCTGAGTATGGATAAGTAGTAGTGATTATGCATAAATGATCAAGTGTTAGTATTTCTGAGATTCTTGCATTTGCTTTAGGCATTGATTTGCCTAGGCATCATGTCAGATAGTAGTCAAACACCATTTCACCATTTTCCTTTAGTTAATCTTGTTTAGCTGTTCCCCAGTATCCTAGTACATATAGAACATTATTGATGTTATGAAAAGCTGTCAGTACTGTCTGTTTACAGAGGGAAGAACGGAATGGTAACCTGCAGATCTTGTGTATGTTGCTTACTGGGGGAATTATGAGCATGTTCGGAGAAGGAAAGCAACCTGTTGGTTTGCATTGAATTCCAGTGCAGAACAAGAAAAAGTAAAAGCTGATGGAAGTTAGGAAGGATGCACGTAAGACCAGGAAAAAGGTGGAGGGAAGGGAGAAAAGAAAAATAAACTATGAGAAAGAGAAGGATGGACCAAGAGGGTCTCTCTGTATGATGAAGCAATTCTGTTCCAAATCTTAACTTCATTCACAGTGTTTGAATCAACACATTAACTTATATTTAGCTTGTTAAAATTACCCCTTTTACGTTTTTTTAATAATGCTTTGCAGTAGCAGGTAGGTTTTTTGGTTTATTTTCAGTGTTTTCCCAAATAACACAATACCTCAACAGTCTTGGAAAATCTGATCTCTTGTGCATTGCAAAGTTGATTAAGTTTCCTACGGTACGTGCTGCTTATGTCAGTGCCTCAGCTCCAGTGCACTGAGCACCGCACATCTTTTGTGACATGCGTGACACCAAGCTGTATGTTCAGCCACAATCCACTCCTTGCCTTGTTCAGCTCTCTGCTAGACCTTGGTTCTCGGATTTAATAGATGGCCTAGTACTCTGTGCCTGTGGAGTTCTCCGTGTGATGCTGACGGAGAGCAGAGGCAGGGGCAAAGAAGAATGTCTGTCTGAGAACCGATCTTTTTTCTGAAACTGCCAATTGAAATTTTTCCAAGATGCATTGACATATGTAGGATGGGGGTCTCTTAAAAAAATGTTTTTGAGACATGGTCAGGATTTAGGTGAACTCTTCTTGTCGTTTTAATATAAAATGCTAATTTTGTAAATGTGCAAAAATGTGTTCGAAAAGCCTGTCTTGACATACTAATTTGTTATAATTGTATACTCAAAAAGAGTTAGCCTCAAATGCACTGGATAAAATGCTTGTTTTGTGGAAAACTTAGACTGTGGGGACCAACAGTAGGAATACTTTGTTAGCTTGGTGAATGTGTGTGATTGCGTATATATGATTATCGTAAGCATATTTTAATTATAGCATTCACTTGCATAATCTATGTGCAACAAAAAATATAATTTAAGCACATACTTGATGCTTTGAGTTAATTGAAGAAGATTAGTAGAAGTCAACATAAATCATTTAACTGTTTTCTGTCTTTTTTTCTTTTTCAGTCACAAACTCGTAGAACCCCAAGTCTTTCAAGTCTTAACTCTCAAGATTCTAGTATTGAAATATCAAAGCTTACTGACAAGGTACAGGCAGAATACCGAGATGCATATAGGGAGTATATTGCTCAAATGTCACAGTTAGAAGGAGGCGCCAGCTCCACTACAGTAAGTGGTAGGTCCTCCCCTCATAGCTCAAGTGCTTTCTATATGGGGCAGAGTACATCTGGGGGTTCCTTGCATTCCAGTGCTGAACAGGAAAAAGGAAAAGATGGTGAACAGAAACAAGATGATGGCAGGAAGTCCTTCTTGCTGAAGAGGAATGATGTTGCTGATTACAGTACTTCTGGTGTTTCTACTAATGATGCATCTCCTTTGGATCCTATTACTGAAGAAGATGAAAAGTCCGATCAGTCTGGTTCTAAGCTTCTTCCAGGAAAGAAGTCTTCCGAAAGAACAAGTATTTTCCAGGCTGCAGATTTAAAGCTTAAGGGAGTTACACTCCGGTATCAGAAGCTTCCAAGTGATGAAGATGAGTCAGGAACTGAGGAATCGGATAATACTCCACTTCTTAAGGAAGGTAAAGATAAGAAGACAGATGGCAAAATAGACAAACAGCCCAAATCTCCAGAACACGGACCTGAACCGATCAGAACCTTCATCAAAGCAAAGGAATATTTGACAGACGCCCTGTTGGATAAGAAGGATTCGTCCGACTCTGGTGTAAGATCCAATGAAAGTTCTCCAAATCATTCCCTGCATAACGAAGGAACAGATGATTCACAGCTAGAAAAGGCAAATCTCATTGAGCTTGAAGATGACAGTCACAGCGGAAAGAGAGGAATTCCGCACAGCCTTAGCGGCCTTCAGGATCCAGCTGTGGTTCGCATGTCTATTTGCTCAGAAGATAAAAAAAGCCCTTCTGAAAGCAGCTTGATAGCAAGTAGCCCAGAAGAGAACTGGCCAGCTTGCCAGAAAGTCTATAATTTAAATAGAACCCCTAGTACAGTAACCTTAAATAATAACAGTGCTCCAAACAATCGAGCTAATCAAAATTTTGAAGAAATACAAGGTGTCAGAGATTCACCTCAGATTATCCTGCACCCTGGCTCGGGTTCCAATCCAACTGCGGTTCAGAATGAGAACCTGAAGAGCGTGGCTCACAAGCGGAGCCAGCGTTCAAGTTATACCCGGCTTTCAAAAGATTCGTCAGAGCTCCACACCGTTACGGCCTCAGAAGGGGCTGGTTTTGGAGAAGAGAGAGAGAGTATCCTATAAAAAAGCAGCGAGGTTAAAACAGAGTATGCCCATGAATTCTAGCTTGCTTGGAATTCTTTGTCAGAGTGTGGTTACGTTAAGAGCTGTAGTTTAAGCTTTCAATATTGTAATAGGTCTAGATTATTTCTAGTAATTTCCTTGGAAAGAGGTAGGAATTTTTACAAGAAGCAAATTACTTCAGACCTTCCCCACAAATAAAAGCAGTACTTGTCAGCATGTAAAACCAGTCCCTCTGTTAAGACACTGTGCAAAGATTTGGTCAGGGTCAGATGTTAGAGAAGTTAAGCACGGTTTAATTATTAGAATTATTATGTGGTTTTACTTTTCTTTTGGGATATGTATTACTTACCCTTCTAAACATTCCAGCCAAGTCTGCATACGTGCAAGTAAAGTTAAGACTTGTGCATCTTTGCTATTTGACATAAGAGATGCTAGAAGATTAAATATCACAACCTGTGACCCCCTTATCAAACTTTTCATTAAATAATGGATTAATGTGTGTAACATATATTACATATGTTGAAATTTGAGTGTTAAGGTACCTACTTGGCTGCATGTACGCTTTTACTCTCTGTATGTTCAGTAATTGCTGTTGACTTTGTGAACTTTGGGTAGAGTGGTGGTAAGGTTTGTAAGGAACATTGTCTTGATGTGTCGTTGGAATTGGCAGTTATTTATAAGGTAATGTCTTATCAGTGATTTAGTGGATCCATTATTTATTATAGGTACGTAATTTTACAGTCACTGGTCTAAATAGATGCAACCACCTGAGAGATATTAAACTACTCTAGGGGTAAAGTATGAATGTGATAGCTGAAATTACAGAGTATCTGCTGCTGTTCCTCTTGGTACAGTGTTTATTATTTGGTTATGGAAAGGGAAAAAAGCAGTGTTTGCCATTTTAAAAATAATTCATACTTCTGGAATCTCATCAGAGCTGTACGCCAGCTTCTTTGATTCTAAGTACAGTGTTTGAAGACTTTGTCATCAGTAATGTGCCTGAATGTTGTTATAGCAAATACTTGTACTGTCCAGTGCAATCTGCATGTTTTTGAGGAAGAATTGTTCGAAGTAGACTCTGGTAGTACAAAGAATAAAAAAGTAAATTGGCATGTTCGGTTTGTGTCCAAATTTCTGCTTATTGTGGTATTTTTTTTCTTCACTTGATAGAAATGTTAACATCCATATTGTTTTGGTTAAAGTGCTTCACAGATTTAATTCAAAAGATGAAATTATTGTTATTAATACAGTGCTAAATAAGCATCAAGTATAAAAATACATTTGGTAAATGGGGTTGCCAAAGCCGACGGTTGTAAAGGAAGCGCTGGGAGCTGCGGAGATGCGGCCGCCTCCCGCTGGTCCAGAGCAGTCATCCTGCTGGTTGCGGCCGTTCACGCGTGCTGGTCCTTGTGCGCAGCCTTGTTTCTGTCCTCGTGCGTCTCCAACCAGATGCTGCCAGCGGGACCATGTGGTCCTGGCCTTTGTTACCCAAACCAAGAGAATGCTTTTTCTATGCCAGAGTCCACAGAGAGAGACTGGCTTTATTGATGCTCTGTTTTGTTCATTCCATGGATGTCTCGTACTTACAGGATTGGAGGCTTGATCTGATACTTTTGGATTCTGTTAAATTGGTGTGTTATTTGATGAAATTAAAATTTACTCATCAGAGTGTTAGAGAAGCACTTGAAACTTGGGTGCACATATTTTTATCTATTAGATTATTAGTTTACCCAAAAAGCCTCCCAAAACAAAATAAGAAGCCCCCAAAGCCAGCATAGCTTCATGACATTTTTCCAAATATTTGGAAACACTTTTTTGGTTTAGATTCTTCCTGTTTAAAAAAAAAAAGTACATCACTGCTTTCTAAAATTTTGGTATAGAAGAGCTTTTAACAGAAGGATACTTGGAAGCATTGTTTTGTAAGAGAAAAGTAATAGTCTTCTTCGTTTAGACATATTCACAGCTTTGATGAAAGATACCAGTTATCACAGATTATTTTGTCTGTTCAAGTCCTCAAATGACCCACATGGATGATGTTAATTTCCATATGCACTGAGATCTTCTCCTTCCTGAAAGTTTTATCCATCAAGTCTTCGCAAAATATGAAAATTGGGATGAAATAGGTAGCTGAGTAGAAAACTTCTCAGTGTTTGTGTTGTATTCAGTCATACCAGTGTACAAGCAAAGCACAAGATTGTGTAGGGTTCCACGTAATACTGTCTTTGGGTCTGTAGATCCATGCCCCGCATGGGATGGGTACCTAAAATCAATTCAAGTTCCAAACAGTGGCTCAGGCCTGCTTCCTTTAACTGCATGACATGGCAGTGCATACTGGAGTTTAGATAATCAGATGTGTTCGTGGGCTGGTTATTTAATGCCTTCCTAGCAAAGTTCCTAGCATCAGTGGGATATGAGTGCTTCGCAGCCGATTCAAGGACAGCGTGCTACAAAAGCTGTTTGTTAACAGGACAATAAAGATAACTGACACTTAGAATCTACTTGTATAAAAATGACTAGAGGGAGTGTATTTTTCTTCTCCACTGCAGCATTTTTAAATTTTTTTTCTTATGCAGGTGTTCATAAGTAAACAGAAGAAAGTGTAGTACTGTGGTGATGGAGGGAGAAAAAGAGACAGAAGAGAGAAATGGAGTACTTAATACAGCACAGTAGTAAGAAGTGTCTTTTAGTACATAATAGATACACATGTTAGTGACTGTACATGCTTAATACGTTGTTCACGTGTAGGATATGAAAGAATAGCATTTGCAAGGATTAAAAATACACTGCAGTTTCATAGCTGAAACTTGTTTTTTCTGTACCACAGTTGCTATGGTTACTAGCCTGCTTAGTTTGTTGCACAATTCTTGGAGTTAAGAAACCATAAACAATTTCCAGTGTTGAAATATTAAATGTTAGCTCTGTGACTTGTGGGAATCATGGAGCCCAAGAGTTCCGTGGAGAATGGAAATGAATGAAGAGTATAAAACAAAAAGACAACTGCAAGCTTATTTCTGGTACTCACCACTTTCCAGAATTCTTGTAATGATAGTTTATGTATCCACTCTAATTTTGGATGACTGAACACTACAGGAACTCGAAACCATGACTTCTTTGCGTAACTGAATCTGAAGAGCACAGTTTGGCTTGTCCTCTTGTTCTGATGCCTGGATATGTTTGCCTGGTAGGGTGAAAATAAATCATTTTTCAAAGGAAAAATTGGATGCAAGTAACATTCCAGGGTTTATGTGAGAGTCTTATGGCTGTTTGCCATCTTTTCCATGGTTCCAGTTTATGAGAAAGGGGGAGAGGGAAATTCTTACATCCCACTTGAAAAACTCACAACAAAATAATGATCTAGTAAAATTCTTGGAGATTCTGGAAAAAGGTTCTGTTTTAAGCCTGGTCAGTCTGGGATATCTGGTCACCCTGTATGACTTTCCCCTTGACAGGCAACAGGATATGTATGTGGTGGTAGGAAGTCTTCAGTCCTTAGCTTGCTTAAGTTTTCTTTTCAAATACTAAGTTTTTTGTTTCTTCTGTTGTTCTGTCTTTATATAATCTTTGGGAAACTTTCCTGGGACACAGGTAGTCTGGGTTTATACAGTATGCTGAAAATAGGTAGTTTCTCCTGGGGTCTGGGGTTCAGCTGTTAACTTCTGTCCACAGAATCCTCGGAGCCTGGTTTTGACCTTTGCAACTCTCGTGGGAAGTTTCTGGTCCTCACGGTAAGAATACAGGAAGTTCTTTGTACAGCCACGAGAGGCACAGGCGGAGGATCCCAAGAGCATCTGTTGTCCGTAGTCCAGCATGTTCCACCACGTGGCCATGAGGCTAGATAGCTTTATCATCTGTGAAAAGCTTATTTAAGTTTCTAAGAAATTGCCAAAGAAAATAATACCTGGATATTTGAGGTCTCTTAAGTGAAAGGTGGTTGTGGTAAAACAGAAGTGTTAATACCTCATAGTGAATTTTCGGACACATGACAGAAATACAATGTGCTAATTAGTCTAAGATAAAGCCTGCTGTTAGGATTTTGGTCTTTTCTGACCCAAGTAATAGCTGTAGTGGGGAGAACTTGGGGTGAAATTCAAATGCTAGTTAAGCAGGGAAGACTGGAAAGACTGTGCTAACCTTACGCACCATTTGCTTTTAGCCTTGTGCATTGTATTTTCAGTTATCTTTATTAAGGCATTTTTCAGCAGTGTAAGGGTGGGGTGAGGATAATTTTACTTAGAGTCTTTCTCCATGGGAATACAGAACAGTTTAATGAGTTTGACATGTTCTCCCAGGTTTCTGAATTTCAACAAAAAGAGAAAAAAATGGGGAAATGGATGTTCAAAAATTGTAATAATATAAAGTATAAATAATAGCAAAACATGTTTGCAGCAGAACTAGAATTTTCTGAAGACTAATTGGCACATGGAGACCTACTGAACAATGTTTAAAAAGAATTTTGTTTTAGCTATTTAACATCCGGATGTCTTTTCATTGAAGATATTTATCATGCAAGCACAGTATGGAGTTACGTTCTGCCCCTTGGTGAACAAATGGAAGCAGGTTATAGAAGTCAAAATGCAGTTTAAAGCTGATGAAAAGCTAATATTGTTTTTGGCTGTACTGTGCTTCTTATTTCATTGATCTTGTGGTTCAGTTGATTATGATTGCTGTGTTAAAGTATTCACGTGGAATTCTGCAGTAGAGGTGTGTGTTCATTGCAGCTTAGCACAGCTTCTGGCACGCTAATGATTTGGTTCTTTGGTGGTAAAACATAAGGCTAATGGTAGAGGAGGTTGAATTCCTTTACTGAGCTTTGAGTCTAACGTCTGTATTTTCATTTGTGGTCTCACTCCTGTGATGCACTTAGCATTCTAGTTAAATTTTGTTCTAGAAATTCGTGCCCCGGCTTCTAGAAAGTTTCAGAGCTACAGGTTTTCTAGCAATGTTTTCGCAGTCGTAAGTGATTGTAGTTCCTTAATAAGACCAACACTAGCAGACCTAGATGTTTGGGCCTTAAAAAGCATTAAAAGGTGTTTCCACCCCCCTCCTCCCCCCCTCAAAGTATGTTTTGTTATGATAGTGACACTGGGTAAACTTTTGAAAGAA